TCCAAAGAGAAAGGAAAAATTTAAATCGCATCATATGACCCCTTTAAGATTAACCCAAAAGCTGACTATCAAGTTTTTGAGTAGGCTCTTACCGTCGGTTTTGGTTTAAAGGCAATTTTAATCAAAAATGAGACGTCTCTCTTCACCCTTTTGAAATGCTGTTGTAATCGCTTTCTGTGGTGGTTGACATTGAAACTAGTATTGTGTTTAAACCTGCATGCATCAGGGCTCCTGTAAATAGTTGTAAATTTCTGTTCCTCTTTAACCACTCTAAACGCTCACCCCTTTTACTGTCTTTGTTTTTATGATGCTGCTCCCGCTCCTGTCTGAAACAGTGACGCGTACCCCTGCCAAGAACATCCGGGTTTACAACCCCACCACAAACACCCTGAATGTGCGCTGGGAGCCGGCCTCCGGAGATGTGCTGCAGTACCGCGTCGCCTACACCCCCCTCTCTGGAACCCGTTCCGCTCAATCTGTAAGTCAAGTCAAGTCAAGTCAAGTCACCTTTATTTATATAGCGCTTTTAACAATACAGATTGTGTCAAAGCAACTGAACAGCATTAATTAGGAAAATAGTGTCAATAATGCAAAATGACAATAGTAAACACAAATTTTTCAGTTAAAGACAGTTCATCATTGAATTCAGTGATGTCAACATCCAGCTCAGTTTAAATAGTAGCTTTGCAATCAAGTCAACGGTATCGCTGGAAATGAAGTGTCCCCAACTAAGCAAGCCAGAGGCGACATTTCGGTTAGTCCTAAGTCCTAAGTCCTCATCGTTAGGCTCGCGTGAAAGATTGTAAAGGAAATACTGCCGCGACAAATGTCAGTCTCTCAACCTTTTGAGCTTAACGGTCTGTTTGCAGTCTGTCCCTCGTAAAGATGTTTGTGCTTTTAATGTCATGCAACCTCGTTCTCACATGAACTTCATTGCTTGAGAGGGATATTCACAAAGCTCCGAAATCCATAAATGACTTTTATTGTCGTCAGATGCTTGCTGTGGGAAATCTTGAGCCCAAACCTGTTTTATTTCAGCACTGAGGAAAACAGAGTTTAAACATTCAGTCTTATGTCTTAACAGAACGAGCTTCTTATCTGCAGCCACAAAGGCTTTGTGGAATATTGTTATGGAGGCACATCTTTTCCGACATTGTGGCCAGTTTTCCAAATTCTCTGTGCTTTCATTTTAACCTCCGATCTATGATGATTTTTTTACCTTTTCCACTGGAACCTTGAAAAACTCTAGAAGTGCAATCAATCGCCCACTGAACTCAGTCTTCAAAATAAAGGATAGTGTTGTCAGGAACGTGAAAAGGGAGTTTCCCGTGTCATTAATGGGGAAGTCAGTGACCCCCCTGACCTGGCGTTGTGAAGAGCAGTGAAAGGAGGCGATTGCACGACACTGTCAGCACATCATTCAATTGAATTGCTACAACTGCTACACTATTAACACATCAAAGGAAGGTTTCCACTGCATTGGCTGTGTAAGTGATCGCTAATGGTTGGGTTGGAAATCAGTGGTGACACAAACATCAGTGAGTGCAAGAGGTCATCTGTAGAAAAACAGACAAACTTCTTTCTCAGGGTGTAATATATCAGAGATTGTAAAGCCAACAGTTTTGATGTGTGTGATCTTAAGAGATTAAATGTTGAGGGACATATCATTTTGCATAAAGATGTTTTTCTTTGTTTGCTTTGTGACATCCTTAATATTAAACACCACTCATTCACATTACTAGAATGAAAAAAAAAAAACCTCATTTTTATTTTTTGGACAGAATTATTGTCTTCTCAAGCTTTACGGAATAAGAATCTGATAAGAATGAATGGTAGATTCCTGTGAACGGTATGATTTTTAGTAAAATGTGCTCATTTAGTCATATTTTATTGCCTCAACTGTGAACTGAATCCTTATGTAAATTAATTAACATGGATTAAATGGTAACGCTTTATTTTAAGTACCAATTCTCACTATGAACTAGTTGTTTATGAGCATGCATATTACTAGCATATTGGCTGTTTATGACTACTTATAAAGCACATATTAATGCCTTATTCTGCATGGCCATTTTTCCCTTAATCCTACCAAATACCTGAATTTAACTACCTTACCAACTAAGCAAATTAAAAGTATACAGAGGTAAAAGTCATAGTTGGTAGTTAGAATTGGTCCCCAAACGGAAGTGTGACAAACTTGGAGCAAATGTAGGTGTTCTGGTAGATCATCCTAAAATAAGCTTATTTTTGTTATAATATATAACAAATATAATTTAATATAATATAATAAATGTAATATATTATTTGTATTGATTTTCCTTTTGATATGTTCTTTGTGAGCTTCACTCATTAATCATTGTAAAAGTATTTGAAGTATCATAAATGTCACTAGTTAACAAAGACAGCCTGTGTGTCCCTGGTAGTAAATTATTACTATTTTTTGTTGTCGGTTAGGTGCTCGTTCCAGGGAACACCCACACTGCCTTGCTGCAGCAGCTCGATTCAGACACAGACTATGCTGTGAGTGTGGTGGCTCTGTATGCTGACGGCGAGGGCTCCTCTGTGTCAGATAATGGAAAAACAAGTGAGTCTGACTGCAGGACGCCTCCATCAGAGTTCCTTTGTTATGTGTTTGTGGCGCATTCTCAGTGACATTGTGCAATGAAATGTCAGCATTTATAGTTATTTGTTATTTAATCATTTCAGATGTGAAGGTATCAGCTGAAATTTCAGGAAATCTAATTTTCCAACTTAACCCAAAGTACAAGGGTTGTAATTTGTTATCATATGTGACCCTGGACCACAAAACCAGTCTTAAGTGTCAATTTTTCAAAATTGGGATTTATACATCATATGAAAGCTGAATAAATAATATTTCCATTGATATATGGTTTGTTAGGATAGGACAATATTTGACCGAAATACAACTATTTGAAAATCTAGAATCTGAGGGTGCAAAAAAATCTAAATACTGAGAAAATCACGTTTAAAGTTGTCCAAATGAAGTTCTTAGCAATGCATATTACTAATCAAAAATGAAGTTTTGATATATTTACGGTAGGAAATTTACAAAATATCTTCATGGAACATGATCTTTACTTAACATCCTAATGATTTTTGGCATAAAAGAAAAATCAATAATTTTGACCCATACAATGTATTTTTGGCTATTGCTACAAATATACCCCAGCGACTTAAGACTGCTTTTGTGGTCCAGGGTCACATATTTGTTATCATTTTCAAAGAAAAAAAAAAAATGTTTTGTCCGATTTTTGAGTTACTACCCCCAATACAAAATATGCAGTACAAATAGTTATTTATTGTTACGAACCCTAACCCTGCTACATTATTTCAACTTCATCACATGGCTTTACTAGCCAATGGCATTGCACCACTCTACACTTTTTTTCTAGGGGAAAAAATGTTCACAATGATTTTGTCCCATGGCAGAGTTGAACTACTAAGCTCTTTAAGGCAAATTTAAGGGTAAACTAGAAACTATAAGTACTCATAAAGAATGTGAAAGAAACTTGTTGCCAAAAGATTGAATGATTCCTCTTCCTCAAATGATGTCAGAAAGAGAAAATCATTATTTTTAGACGAGGATCTTTTATATACAGTGCATATTACAATGTAACATTTGTATATACAGTATAATGTTATATTGTAATTGTGATGACTTGGGGGATGTAATGATGATGACATTAAAATTTGCAGATATTCAAATGAAAAATATTTAAAATGAAAATGAATGTTTAATTTTAAATATAAAACCTTTGCATTATAAACTAAACAATTTCAAATCTACTGTATCCAGAAAAGTTCAGTATACTAGTAAATTACGTATATAAGTAGTAAGTCATATATGCACAAACAGCACACAAATGGTCTTTTCTTCCAGAAATATGATTTTGAGAGAACCTCTGTTCTTCTGATTACAGTGCCCCGCGGCGGCCCTAGGAACCTGCGTGTGTATGATCCGACCACCAGCACGCTGTCTGTCAGCTGGGAGCATGCAGAAGGACCCGTGCTGCAGTACCGCATTGGCTATGCACCCACCACTGGAGATCCCATTGAGGAGTTTGTAAGTGGTGTTATATTTTATAGTAGTGATTATAAAGGACAGGAGCAATATATGTTAACATCAGGTATTTTTACGAGCCCATGGATGTTATTTGATTGAATGCATGCTAGAAAGCTGATCTTGTCTTGCTGTTTTTCACATAGACAAGTGTCCCTGGCAACAGGAACTCTGTCATCTTGCAAAACCTGCAGCCAGACACTCCGTACAACATCAACGTAGAGGCTATTTATCAAGATGGGCCTGGAGGACAACTGTCTGGAGATGGAAAAACATGTAAGGAAGGTTACACAATCACATTAAGGCTTGGTAGATAGATAGATAGATAGATAGATAGATGGATGGATGGATGGATGGATGGATGGACGGACGGACGGACGGACGGACGGACGGACGGACGGACGGACGGACGGACGGACGGACGGACGGACGGACGGACGGACGGACGGACGGACGGACGGACGGACGGACGGACGGACGGACGGACGGACGGACGGACGGACGGACGGACGGACGGACGGACGGACGGACGGACGGACGGACGGACGGACGGACG